ACAGCCTTGCGGCCATAAATGGTAAGTTGTATTTTGGGACCAGTCTGGGACGGATGAATTGAGCGCAAGTCGACAACAATACGCGAAAAGTACACGGAACCTTTCAGTATACGGGTTGTTTTCTTAAGGGTGGTTAGTAGTGGCGAACTAGAGAGTTGGACTTTCGAAACGGCGCTGACTTTAAGGATGGCAAGGGAACAATCATTGTTGTTATGGGGGAGAATTTCCTTTGGGGTTGCAGAATAGGAAGTGATTTCATGTTCATCAACAACACGAACCGTGTAGAGGGAAGCGTTTACCGAATAATGAAGTCAAAGTTCCGGTGATTTGCTTTAGATGATAGCAAGGCTCAGAACTAATTCATCCATTTCATATTTCAGTTTTGATTAGATTTGATATGACTACGTTGTTTATCTTTCCTTTTCTGTACCAGGATAGGCAGCTTAAGTTGAAGTTTTCAGAGTCCTAAGACAGCCTCTTGTCCAGATAAAAACCACTCGGATTCTGATTTTTCCACAACTGATCAGAGTTAGTTTTGTCATCAACTTAGAGTAACTTAAGGCTGTGAATATTCATGACAATCTCGAGAGCATCATTCTCATTATGTGTCAGAATTTGTTTCATTGATTTTCAAAAACACTAATCTTAAAAACGTGGTTCTCTTTTGAGCGACTGATGCCCAACCTTGACACTGTGAACCTGCGTCACTGGGTTCAGATTAACTCAGTCGTAAATATGGTGTTCTTGACTTGAATTGTGGCTTCAAAACAACATGAATTGACCGGTGAGTCACTCGGCCACGTCAATTTTCCTTTGCGTTTGACATGCAGTCCAATTGTAGGTCATCAGTAGTCATCAAATATTCAGCCCAAGTTGGCTATACTTATTTAGAACAGCATAATTCATCGAAGAAAAAGTTATGGTTGCGTATTATTTTTCTTTCAATCCATAGACCTCTGGGCTCTACATGAGAAATGCAGTTTTTAAAGGAGATCAAACCAAGAATGCATAAATTCGACGGACTGTTCAACATTGCCGATCAGACTACCAATTTTCGTTACATTTTTTTCTCCTAATTACATCAGGCTGCTAGATACCTTTTTGTAGTTTGAAATCTGAAGTTTATTATAATTAACAGGTTCCTCTACTAATTACATACACAATGCAGCATGTGCTTGTCCTTAATGGTCAACTTCGGCTCATATGGCGGTCAAAATTATCGGGCGTCCAAATTCGTGCATTGAGCATCATGAATGGCAAAAAAGGATTTACATCTAAGAGATTTTGAAGAATTTTAACCTTGCACCTCTTTTCAAGTCCTTCGTTTTTTGAGGTAGCATTTTAGTATAATTCCCACTCACTGTTAGTCTTTTGATTAAAAACAGAATTACCTTCAAAAGGAAACCTTGATTCGCAGACTCGCTGTGCCTGTCATACGACACATCTTCGTTGAAATTAAACTACGTCTGGAGCAGCAGACGACTGTTGCATGTATTATCTCCACCTTGACTCATTTTTCACTAGTAGTGTAATACGGCTCAAGCATGGAACCAACTGACTTTATTCGAAATTTCCAAAAATGACCTTTCAGATTCAGGTCAAGTCAATTTCTTGGAGAACGTGGATGTACCTCTCTTGGTCGGGTCTTGTTGGGCATCTCTGCAGGCAGTGCGAAACAGTGTTGTAACTAAGTCATTTTTTCCAAGTCAAGTCTCAAGGCCGACTCGAGTCCAAGTCAACAACACTGGTACGAAAGCTGAAGTAACATGAATGTGCGGCAAGTTGTCATTGTAGGCAATCTCGATGGGAACTCATGCAGTGAATAGTCATTGACTTGGTTGGCTTGACCAGTGGGGGTTAGCGTCAACCGCTGTCCACTCCCCGTTAATCCCACCCTCCGGCCTATGTCGGTGTCTAACCTTTCCGATGGTCACTTTGCTTCCATGATGCAGTCAAAGAGGAAGGAACTCAATTCAACAAGTGGTTCGGTCATCTACAGAGCAATTTGTAAAGCTGTGGTCAATCGATTGATTAATCAAGATCGACGCTGTTTCCAAACATTTCAATATGAAATTATTTGTCACAGCCTGAATTGCCATGAAAGGGGGGTCTTTGAAACACCGCGGCTATTTTGGGAAGTATAAAGGAGAGTAATCTCCAGAGACTGAGGGCCCCAAATTTTAATACAAACGAACAGAATGTTTTTTCATTTCAAAAGAACATCATCGGTTTTTAGTTATATTTGTGGGGAACCAAACCTACCTACCCTAGTTTGAAAGTTGACAGACAACTTTTGAAAGAATTCAAAGTGCGACCGCAATGTTTGAAAAGTGCAATGTTTCTTTCAACTAAAAAAAAATCAAGGTACATTGAATTATTTTAAGCATTCGCAAATAGGAACTGTTCATTTGCACATCTACGTGTACAAGAGAGTTGGTAAAGCCCGAAATTTGGGGGAATTTGTATGCAGTTGATGGAGATAGAAAGGGTGAATATAGCTAGGCTTGGAAAGCATGTAACAGCGTGTATATGGTTCGTGATCATGGTCACTGTGAGGATAGGTTATGTGATTGACAGATTCGTCCTCATTTCTTAAGGCGTGTGATAAAAGTGTTTATAGATGACCAACTCTTGTCTATTTTGAACAATGTTTATTATGCTTCATTTTGTTGGGTCAAACTGTTAAGAAACTCAACCCGTTTCAACACTGTGTCTTTTCACTAAGACTGATTATGTAACAGGTCCGCTGTTGTCTTTGCGGCTAGGGTGTGAAGACTTTTTGGGTAGAGGTTGGCCCAACCTCCGGGGGGAACTTCGCAGGAAAGGGTGTGAATTGTCTCTTTCCGGACCACATACGAACAAAAACTTGCCATCTGCCCCGTTCGGGGTGGTCGAGTTTGCCACATCCAGTGCAATGGTGGACGGTGCGATTCCACGAAAGGTAACTGTTTTATTTAATGTTTAAAGTTGAATTTCACAGTGGAGTTTCTCTAATTCTTCTCTCAACAACTGAAATGTGGGGACATGTGCTACACGTGAGTGGTCATCTCCGGTAATGCAACTTGATCTGCTTTGATTGGATACGTCCATCAAAAACCATCGCTCTGAAAACTGAGAGTTTTACTCACCAAGGTGGCTGGACTTTGTTTTATCGAAAAACAGAGTACGCAGGGATAATGATTCCAATCCCTACTAACCAAAGTTCCTGCATCCACATAAATTGTCTCATCAGTTCTCGTAGGATGACTACATATCACATCCCTCTATCTTCGCCATTTCCTTATCCCTGTCTGAATCTTGCCAAGTCCCCACGGACTGAGGACAAAAAAATTAGGGCCATCAAATTTGGCAATCGTCTCATCGGGCTACTGGCCTGAGCGAGTTGCTGGTATACGGCAGCGCTAGCCGCGAGTGCGTCCCAACGGTCCAACCTTTTTCCCTGGGGCGCTACTTTGCCGTTGCCCAGCCAGGACCGCAGGCTCCCGGACTCGCTCGATCGGCTCCCGGTAGTGCGGGTGAAAAAAGGCGACTTAATTTCCCCTGTGTTGCTTTCGAGCCCCTGGTTCCGTGTTGTTCTAACGACGCCAGCTCTCTTGCAGATGGGGAGGGTTTTCTGTGTTGTTTTTTGGGGGGTCGGTAGGTAAGGATTGATGGGAGTTTGGGGAAGGGTATATCTAGAGAGGTTAAATTGCTCGTGGCAATCACGAGTGGCATAACTGCTCGAAACACGGTAGAAAAAAACTTTGAAGAACCATAGTGAAATTAGGAGAAAAGGTAAAGTTGTTAATGTGAAAATCCTGCTCCTGAATGTTTTTCAGCGAGCTGCTCATTTACCAGTGAGCCGTCATGGATGTTGTGTTACTTTTTCCGCCAATTTATGACAGGTAAGAGATTGGATTTCTAATCTCCTCCAGTTTCGTCGTCGGTGTTAGAGTGAAATGCCAACAGCAACTGTCTATCCACAAGTGTGCTTTAATTTGAATTACATTTTATTTTAAACGCGTTTGGGGGTATACCCCGAGCGCGCCATGTGGGCCTCATATTCCAAGGCCTTTTTTCCCAGGAGCCCTCATTTTGAATCCAGAGTCACCTCATTGTGAATCCAAATCAAGATGGCGGCCTACTATATAGGTCCATGCCCAGCCAGTCCCATCGTCATGCCCCGTTTCCTCATCGCATATGTGCACGCTTCACGTATACAGAGACGCCTTGGTTTACCGGCCGTGTCAATTTTGAGCCCGAAATGTCTTCACCAATTCATGTCATTTATGATTGCGCGCGCTTCTTCAAGCGTTAGCTTACTCACAACACGGGTAAGCCATTTATTATAGATGGAGCTAGGGTCGGAAAAATGGGGTTGCTGGATGGAGGAGACAGGTATCATTTTAAAAAGTAATGCATACAGTTTGGAGATGGTCTGTGTTATTTTAATTTGATATCAGAAATCGCTTTTAGTGTTATCTTGTACCGTGTCGTCACATCTAGTTATTTTGAGACTCGTCTCACAAGTTGTGTCTTGTAAAGCGAGTATGTCTTCCCCCCCCAAAAAAAAAAACTGTATCCCAAAATCCCGGAGACAAACTGTCTTCTGTCGCTACAATCCCATGGGTCTGGAAGCTAATGAGTTATGTGACCGTGCTTTGGTGTGAAGAGTGCAGCTACTTTGTCTTCAGTTAGAATCACAATTGAGAGAAAGGAACACGTGAGAAAAGTTTGTGTCCTAGTTCTACGGCGTCAGGTCCTGTGATGTGAGGGGCAGCAGGTATTTGGGTCCGGTACCCCCTTGGATACAATCAAAGGATAGCTTCCCAGAGCCTTTGTGTATATTAAGGAAGAGTTGACCAACTCGAAGCCCCGCCCACGCTATGAATAATTGATACGCAAGATCCCTTGTTTCACGGCAAGGTCTGTGACATGAGTCGGGTACCCTGTCTTACCGTGTGCATAACCGAATCAATATCGAATACTGCAGGTCCATGTGTGAGCTTCTATAATAAACTACTGTCACTACCGCTGTGCTCTTGGAATAACAAAAGCGAGTAGGGAAATGCTATGAATGGTTCGAACCGGACAAGAAAAGTGCAAAGAAGGTTGTTTCCTCAGGAGAGCGAATGTATGGAGCAGTAGAGTCTCCGGTAGTTAAAGACCTTGGTTTCACGTCAAGTTTTTTCGGGAGCCAAAACACTGCATGCGCCGTAGAACCACCGTGTGTTCTTCGCTTCAGTGAACAGGGCCCGTGTCCAATGTCCGCTGGAATTCGACCGGCCACAACGTATTAATCGGTCAGTGACTGCTCATGTCATCCAACCGTACACAAAAACTCCCTTGTAGTGTTTCGTCTCATCTTATTTTCTTTGGCCTATTCACGGCCTGACTCGAAATAAGTCTCCGTTGTTGGTTGGTTGGCTGGCTGACTGCCGAGAGATCTCACTGTCTTTAGAGACTGTCTCACCGCTGTAGCCACTCGAGTTTCACCACAACCCAACAAACAGACTGAAACATCTGTAACCAACTAGCAACTGGCAACTTGAGACCCTGACAGCTAGCCACCATCACTCTGGGAAAAAAAATCTCCAAGAGATTTCTGGGGGTCTCAAGCTCCAATGTCTTTTTGACTCAACCGTTGCCGAAAGGTACACCGATTTAATTACGGCGAGTTTTGCTCCGAGAAAATTACCTGGGCGGGTCTTAAGGAGTCTGTCACGGGAAGCAGACGGGGGCTAGGATCTAGCGATCCTGGCTGAGTCGAATCTGGACAGCTTGGTGTGTTTAGCGGGCTGTTCCATCAAGCTTGCCCCCCGAGGCTCAGCGCTCTACCCGGCCCACCGTGCCTTCATCATCGGGCGGCGCACGGGGACTGTCAGCCTCGCCGGCCCGGGCTGTGTCATCGGTACTTGCGCTCGGAGCGAGGGAGGGTTTTCCCGCGGTATAATCGACAGCAATTGGACATTGATTGGACCGAACTCGAGGCTGTGGTCAGTCTTCCGGTCACCAGAACTTATTGAAGACAATTTCATCCACCTCCATGCCTGCTGTACATGTACATCGACTGCAAATCCCCTACCCCCGTCTCGTGTCGATCGCAGAGTGAACACTGCATTCACTGCTTCTTCTCTTTCAACTGACTGACCGCACAATATAACGGGCACAGTCACCAAGAGTAGATTACTGGAATTACTTCCGACCAAGCGGAACAGCGTCAACAGCAGAGGCTTATCGCCACCCAAAAACCAACCGGGACGTTTGGACCAAAACACCCGTCAGGTTCCAGTGGAATCACGGTGCTTTTTACTTGCACGGTGAGTCACAATCTAATCAGGCTGTGATAGCTCTAATGAATTACAGACCAAGTGACTTGGCATTCACTAACTTTTTCACGTTAACTGGGTAAATTATACAACCAAACACCATTGCCATTTCCTGATTTCGTGTAACCTGGTAACCGGAACCACATGTCTCACTCAAAAATATCGACGAGGAGGCCTGTTTCCACTTTCCGTTTTGTGGATTAGATCCAAAGACAAAAACTCCGGGAGAGCAAAGAAAACCATTCCTGCTAAATCCTACATTAAAACATTATTTTTCCCTTTGCTTTTGTTTTCAATGAAATGTAAGACTTAGGGCATGGCAAATCAGCATTGTCATTAATTTATGACCACTTGATGATAATCTATAATCAGGTGTTGATCGATAAAAGCAGTTTTTATTTGTCCGTGTAAACTGTGAGAGTATCGCTGCTCTGTTTTCATTGTGTTCTTGGTGAGACTGTATAAGTACACTTCGATTTGTTCTTTGAACATATTGGATCTCCAACATGTCCACCTTCGGTCCGGTTATTTAAAATCAGAGAAATGTATCGCCTGCTCATCTTACTATAAACCGCGTGGACATCGTGGATTTTAGGGCTTGGTTCTGGCTCTGTATCGTGTAGATACATCGGCCAACGAATTCCTACGAGTTGACGATACAGCCCCGAGGATTTATAGAAATACTCATGATCTGAATTGCTGTCGACCTTAACTTTTTTTCAAGTGTATTCCAAAAAGGTTAAATTGCATAGCTAGGCAATCAGAACATAAAGAATTGACTGTCACCTTGACAATCCAAATGAGATATATCCAAATGTTCTCTTGTATTCTTTTCTTTAAAAGATGGGAAAAAAGAACAATACCCTTAGAGTTCATGATTTAATGATGATAGCAATTGTTCATGAAATCCGAGTCAAAAAGTTTTTGAGAATTATATGACGGGCAGCTCCTTAAATTTCATGTATTGTAAGCCGTGCAGAGATTTTACTTTAAGGAATTTTTCCCCTTTCTGTGTTGGGACGTTTTCAAAAATGACCAAAACAACATAAGTTTTGTCTCTTGAAGGCAATCCAAATGAATTGTTTTGCCGGTGTTGTCGAACATTCAAGGAGCAACACCCTTGAATTGTCCAAGCGTCAATTAAATATTCCAACTCGACACCACGTGGGAAAGCGGGTAAGTCTTTGTGCATTGGCCTGGAATTTTATTACTCGTGTAAATCCCCCAACATGGGGGTCATTTTATGCATGCTGGATTGAAATAATGCACCGCAGCTCGGTTCGAGTTACCATGAATATCGAGCCTGGATCTCTTGAAGAAGAATATTTGTGGTAAGCGGTCACTTGTTAGGAAACTTGCCCTGTTTTGTTTACGCTTGGGAGGATACAGTTCTCCATTTCTTCTAGTGTGATTGTGAATTCATTTCTGATTATTACTTGCTGGAATGGAGGCTATGTTCCTTGCCTCATTGAAGGCATTTCCAAAATGATGGTATAGCCCAAAAATCAGCTTAAAATGGGAAATACCAGTCTCAGAGAAGAGCAAGTAAGACGCGGAACGTCGAATTATTACCTAACTAACGTGTTTATCCCATGTCATAGATTAAAGATGTGATTTGTCCGACGAAGGCTTTGGTATCAATGACGGATATATTCGTGACATAAAATGACAGCAATAACAGTGTCATCCGTCTAGAAGGAGTGAACACTTTCTGTAATCAGCAATTAAACTGGGAATATTTTAAAAGCTAGCTTCCCTACAAAGCTTGTCTTTATCTGTGGACCCATGCTTGAACCGCGGTCTACAAATAAACAAGGCGAATTCCTTCTTATCTGTCGATGCAAGATGTGTCGAAGTTGCATGGGACATGCACAGCATGCATGCGCCAAAGGGATGGCTTTACATGTCTACCAGAGCTTTTCACTATTTCGCCTGGCGAGTTGCGTTAAAGTTTGCCGTCGCGAACCCAGGCGAAACGTGCGGGCTCAACTAGAACGGCGATCCATACCGAATCAAAGGCCCAATCGTCCCGCGGTCGTCTGGCGTTTGTCCAGGGGGCCAAAGGGTTTGTCTTTGGTCATTGTTGGCCGAACTCTCCGGACAATGGACAGTGTTCCCGAGATGGTATTTACTGACCGGTTTAGCAAACTCAATATTGGTCTTCTAATCCGGCTGAGAGGGTAGCCATCACGGTAGCTAGTTGTAGGGATGAGTAGGGATAAAGTCAATATGTCCACGAACCACAAGCTTGTTAAATGACAGCTTATCTTGGGTTCTCTACATTTCTTGATGGGTTGCACAAATACACAAAGTGGAAGTTGTATCTGAACACAGATAAAAGCTGCAAATAAGGGTAATTTTTAATAGGAGCAGTTTTTACGCGAGGCTCTGGGCAGGGTTTCCGTAAATTTAGGGAGCACATTCTGAGACCAGTTATGAGTAAAGTCATGACAACTAACCCTGTTTGTTGAATTGTTCAAAGTACTTCATAAGATTAGCAAGACGTATTGGGCCGTAAGGAGCAAAATAGTTTCATTATGCGAGAATCAGTCCCCGGTGAAAACCGAGGATAAGATTATGCACCATAGAGACAAAATAAAAGACTTCTGGAGGTCACCCATCAACCTTTTGCCGGATGAATTTGTTTTGCGATCATGTTATTTCAAACCCGAGATCAGAGAGAAGAGTACAACCAAACTGTCAATGTTTTATCGTCCATCGAGCTGAACTTGTGCTGATCGCGTAGTCTTTTGGGGTCATTTTTATGATTTACCTAGGTGAGGCAGTTGACATTGTGACAAACGACGTGCGAAGTGTTGAGTGCGGTTGCCCGTTTATGTTCAAACTGTAAATAGTTTTCTTGTGGAAGTATCGGTCACATGAGAAAAATACACGGTATCAAAAGCACATTCACGTTGAGGAAAATCGATACTGTCATCAAAAGGTGCTGTAAGTGTTGACATGTGATGTCTTCCTTTATAGATGTGACTGCACTGGACTTATGGACGCAAAAATCCACAAACGACCTTGTCATTGTCATCTTAATCGATCGTCTTATTTGTGATTAATCGCATCCGCGATATACTGTAGTTTATCATTGAAAACTGAAGGCAACATCCATAGTTGTGATGGTTGTGAGAAAGCTTGTAAATCTGGTTGTTTTATTTGAGTATGTGTTCCTGTCTTACGTCCACACTGCGTCATCGGTTGACCAGATTGTGGGTTCGTCTGTAAAGGATACTCATGCACAGTTGAAGCGAAGTCAAATACTTGACTCCTGCAATGGCCGATTTAATCCGTTTAGACCAAACCGTATCCTCGCGGCGCGCAGCAATACCCTGAACACACTTCTCCTAAACGCCTTGTTGACGCTCGTGAATGGCCTGGGTTCAATTTGGTGTGATTGTGACTGCGCTGAATGGCTCCGTCATGTTACTTGGGGTCGTTTGGATTTTAGCATTCACCTTCTCTCTCTCTTTTTTAAGGTAGGGTGAATACAAAACTTGAATGTTGTAGATTGTTTGATGCTCAAAAGAATCGATCCTTTGATGCAATGTTGGAGGAAATTTCAAGTTGTTGATTGAAACAGCACCCTTTGGATACCAGCCTTGACCATTCTGTGTCCGTCAAAAACCAACAACAGATCGGGTCTCATGATTTTCTTTTTCTTGATATCGTTGCCTTTTATGATAGTTTTGATCGATATTGATTGTTTTACTCTCTAACAGTGTTGCTTGACTGGACAATCTCTATAGTTCTGCTCAATCTCGATTTGCTGACCGGCCAAGAGCATGGAATTACCATCGGGCCAAAAGTCCGGTATACATTGCTGACTTGGCACTGTTGCAGTCAACGGCCGTTGAAAACTGTGGATTCCCTCGTGAAATGTTTATATTGTCGCGATAGTTTTTGTAAAGATTTGTAGATTTGGTTCCTGTTTTTGAAAAGTTTAGAGGTTGACATCGTTCGGACCAAGGTAGAGATATCGATGTGCAATTGATTCATTGGATGCTGAAACTCTTGATCAGTTGTTTTCGATGTGTTTGTAATCTTGTTGAATTTTGTTTCTTAGGTTATTTGTACAGTTACCTTCATAATTACCTTCACAATTATAAAGTGTTCAGCAGACTTCTATTTTTCTGTAGCTCTTTTTCGATCGTTGTCGTTGTAATTAAAAGATGTCAGCATTGCAGTTATTCATCGTCTATCTTTTTGATCCCTGTTAATGATGTTGTTTTTAATTTTCTTTTCCACGTTACCTTCATACCTGCATAATTGCCCTACCATTCTTAATACAATGTGCACCATGTTCCACCACCGTAAACCTATCATGGCTTGTTTAGCATTGGATTAGATAGGCCAGACATCGTCCCCAACGTACCGTATGTAATAACATTTGTGCACCGCGTGCCTACTGAGCTGGAAGAGAATGCTCTTCCCCACCGTGGACTGACTGTTATAGCTGTGTGGAACTGTTGAGTGGGTATGGTGCTGTGTGGGATGAATTTAGATCGGCCCGACAACAGGTGTATTCTGTGTACTCTATGTAGCCTCTTTCTCAGCATTCATTTACTCGAAATGGTTATGATGGTGGGCGAGACATCTGAAAGCAGGGATACTTGCTCGCTAGAGTACAAAGACTGCCATGAACCGAATTCTACGCAAAGTAGTTTTAGAAATGTTTATACTTGGTCAGCTCCGTCCCCTTGCAACGAAGGTTGCAACTCTGGGTAGATACCAACAGCAAAGATTGGCTCTTGTTTTCGAATCTCAGTTACAGAAGTCTTGAAATGAGGAATTTCGGTGTGTTTTGCCCGCTGCGGAGCTCGACACGATAATTTTTTTTTCAATCTAAATTGGCAACAAGTTGCATCATATCCATCAATGTAATTGTTTACCTGTTTGTTTTTGACTTTCATGATACAACTGGACTCCAGTAACTTTGCACCATGCAACCACCGTACCTACCCGGCTCGGTCCAGTTGGGTTCA